AACACCTCAAACAACATCAAATTACCCAAAACTCATCGAATTCAAGTCTAAGTTTCCAAAAACTTTCGAAATACACTTTCGATCAAAAATCCGACCAAACGATGTCCGAATAACCTAAAATTTTGCACATACATCACAAATGACATAACGAAGCTACAAAAACTATCGAAATTCCATTCCGACCCTCGGATCAAAATCTTACCTATCAACCGGAATTCGCCAAAATACTAACTTTGCCAATTCGAGCCAAATCCTTCCACGGACTTCCAAAAATGCATTCCGATTGCGCTCTTAAGTCATAAATTAACTAACTGAGCTAACCAAATCATAAATATTCTGATCCGAGATCATATACAAACAAGTCAACTATTGGTCAAACCTTTCAAATTCAAAGCTTTCATCTGAGATTGTTCTTTCAAATTCCTTCCGATTTTCCTGAAAACCAAAACCATCGATATACATCAGTCATAATACATCATACGGGGCAAGTCATTCCTGAGAACTGGCGATCAAAGTACAAAAGCTCAAAACGACCGGTCGGGTCGTTACAGAATCCTACATGATTACCTTTAGAAATTCTATTATATAATTATTTTCGGGATGTCTAATTCATATAAAATTGAACAAATAAATATCTTTTGTCATGTAATCCTATTACTTTTAGGATATATTTCTTAAAAATTCCTATTACTTATTTAATTTGAAAACGTATTATAATGTACTATTATTAATTTAATTTGAGAATGTATTATATTGTCCAAATTCATTTAGAAACAGGAGAGCCTATATTATTATAAAAGCATAAATACAATATTTATATACCAAAATAGCCCTATATTATTAAACGGAAGAACTCATAGGAAGAGTGCATGATTGCCAAATTTTATAGTAAAAACAAAATATTTTTCTATTTTTGACGCAGCAGAAAATGACACCAATAATTACTATCAAGAAGGATACTTAAATACTTTAATACCAAATGGTCTTCTACCATACACGTTTGTTATCAAGTTTATTATTTTTTACATATGTTAGTGTCACCGTTTATATAATAAACTAACTTAAAACTGATCTTCCATTGTATATAGGTTAATTTTGAAGAAAAATATGCCTGTCATGCTACTGAAAAACTTAGATACACCGAATAGCTTATGTAATAGCACACAGATAGAATATAGAAATTTTGACAATAACGTCATACATGCAAAAACTATGATACTGGTTAATGTGCTTCTAAGTATATTCTTATCCCTGAATTCAGCTTTCGTCTTCCGAATCTAAAGATATCCTTTTAAATTTGTGTGAAAATAATTTTTAGTATGTATATGACAACAAGAGTTCGGGTTAAGATATAGTAGCCAAAGCATTAGGAGGAAACATACAAAAAAATATTATCCACGAAGAAGTGTTCGTTAAGATACCATCACATTAAATACTTTTAAACTATATATAATACATAATTATCCAACTAACATGACAAAATCGATCATTTGTGTAAGTTTTGATGATGTGCTTTTATTTTAAATTCATGCATTATGCTAATACAATAATATTTTTCGGCATTTAGACGATTGTTGCATTATTATACATAAAATTTCTATCATTAATTAAATTTTTTTGTTCCTTCATATAAATAAATATTTAAATTATCACATGCCATTATTAACGTGCAACGCACGTTCATAGATATATATTTAAAATATGAGGGAAAATTGGGTATCAACACACGAGTGCAAAGATTGACTCATATTCTGAAGATTCATTGTCAACAGCCATCATAGATGCATCTCCTTGTTCATCCTCACCTTTAAATTCACTAGTGGAATCTCCCCAGTTAGCCAAAGCTTGTTTCACCATGTTGTCAGCAACATCTCTTCTTTTGAACTTCCTGTCAGGGACCTGGTTCCTCTTATCCACCTTATTAATGTTAGTTTTATAATGATCTTACTTATGAAGAGGACAGTCTTTAATGAAGTGTCCAGACTTTCCACACTTATGGCAGCAATCATTTTCTTTGAAATTCCTGCTAGAACTTCCTTTCTTTGGAATCCCACTATTTTTTCGAATCATCTTTTGGAATCTTCGAGTGAGATACTCCATGTCAGATTCATCACTACTTGAGTCTTTGTTGGCAGCCTTGAGAACCAGGTTCTTCTCCTTCTTGGGCTCTTTTCTTTCAAGATCCTTCTTTCTCTTCATCTTATAAGTTTTGAGATTTCCAATGATTTTATCAATGGTCAGCATCTGCAAATCCTTGGCTTCAGTGATAGCATTTACTTTACTTTCCCAAGAACCTGGTAAAACACTAAGTATTTTCCGGACCAGCTTGTTTATTGGGATAACTTCTCTAAGGGAGTGAAGCTCATTGATAATGGAGGTTAAACGTGTGTGCATATCTTGAATAGACTCATCCTCATACATCTTGAAAAACTCATACTCAGTAGTAAGCATATTAATTTTGGACTGCTTAACCTGAGTAGTTCCCTCATGGGCAGTTTGAAGAGCTTCCCAAATCTCCTTAGCAGACTGACAAGCTGAGATACGGTTGTATTCATCTAGTCCGATACCACAAATAAGAATCTTCTTTGCCTTGAAATTCTTCTCAATAGTCTTTCTATCAGCATCGTTGTGCTCTTTTCTTGTTTTTGGGACTGCAAATGTTCCCTCACCAACAGTTTTCATGGGAACAAAAGGTCTATCACAGATTACATACCACAGCTCTGAGTCCTCAGCCATAATGTAGTCATGCATTCTTGTTTTCCATCAACCATAGTATTGGCCGTTGAATCTTGGTGGTCTGTATGTTGATTGTCCTTCCTCAAAGTTTGGTGGAGCAGCCATGTAGATCCTTTATAGGTGTTAACCTTTTAGAAAGAACCTGCTCTGATACCAATTGATAGAAACTAAGCGTCCACCAAACTATATAGAGAACCAGGTTCTCTATCAGTTCTCACAGTAAGCAACAGACTATAAAACCAAACAATATAGGGAACCAGGTTTCTGTTCCCACAGTAAATCGGCAGTTAATAAAGAACACGTGATATTTACGTGAAAAACTCCTTGCTTAAGGGATTAAAAACCACGACCTACCCTAGTAGGATTTCAACTCCACTAAACCGAGCAAACTTCAGATTACAACATATGCAACCTAGGAATTAACCTCTTAATTCCTCACTAACTTGTAATACTCTATTATAAGTCACTTTGTAAAAACTCTATTACAAAGACTTTGGTATTCCTCACTAACTTGTAACACACCTATTACGAACCACTTTGTAATACCTCTATTACAAAGACTTCCAACTCAACTAACTCTAGCCAAGACACAAACACAATGGTTTATGATTTACAAAGGTTTCCTACGCAATGCTTCTAACTAAGCTAAGTAGGAATTACAAGTAAAGAACAAAATAACAAAGACTCAACAAACCTAAGGATTTAAGATATCTTCAATCTTTAGATCTGGTCCTTGAGGTTGCAGTAGCTTTGTTCTTGAGAGATGTGCTGGCTAGCACTTGAGAGAATATTGTTTTGATTTGCAAGTATTGGAGAGATGAAATCCCTTGCCTAATGTTGATAATATGTGTGTGCGATGTCATCAAGGATGATGCAATAAAGTGCCCTTTAGTTTGGCCTTAGCAAGCTACAACTTTGCTGTTGTACTGCTGCCAAATGGTACAATGCAGCAACCTGCCAGACGGTATAATGCAACAGCTTTTACAATTATAGAGTTGACTGTACAACGACCAGGGGAAGTGATCACAATCTGTTCCCTCTGTTGTTCCCTATGTTGTTTCCTTATCTGATTTTACTGAGAATTGAACCAGACATTTGACTAGTTACTCTGATTGCAAGGGAACTAATTGTATCAGATTCCTTATCTTGTTCTCTTATTAAATTTGTCAAATCATCAAAATAAAAGACGCATAACTTATCTACATGATAGAGGGGACATAAACCTTTGCTCCATGCTAAAGATCGAATAGGTTCAAACTTTATTGGAACAATTTACGCATTGGAGGACTCCTATTTACAATTGATTTTACCAATTTTAATACAATGGTAGAAATGTTTATTTAATACGGAAAACATCACATTAAAATTTAAAGTCGAAATTTAAAACTTTTTAAAGCTGTAAGAAATTATATATATATATCTCAAAATAAAAGAAAGTACCGTTCTAGAGGAGGATTTTCCTAGTAGGTTTGGGGGCATAGACTTCTTAAAGCAAAGAGCTGATGCTCCAAGGCGGCCATTAGCTTCCATTTTTTTCTTATAGTTATTAACCTAATAAAGTCATGCATATGAAATCATATCATAAATCCCGACTGAAATTAATGTACTGATTATTACATCTGTTCAACTAAAGGAGCCGCGTTTTCTTATTTTCTAAGTTGAAACTTGTATCTAAACGACTTTTCTTCTCATAGTGTACTTATATACAAATGTCAAACCAAATTAATCAATCACTGTAACATATATCTATTGCGTGCATTGCTACGTCTGCGGAAAAAGTGACAGTAGATTGTTGCCAATCATATTATTCACTGTATATAGATTCAGAATTAATTCCTTAATAATATGCGCTTTTTTCAATTGCCTTTATTCTCTCTCGTATATACACAAACTAAACTGGCTTACTGTCTTTATTCTATATGGTCAAACACATACTAAATAAAGAACAAATATGAATTTTCTTCTTTACTCTCGATTAAAAGTAAACTAGCGTTTTTTACCTTTTACTCCAAAAGAGAAAAAAACGAATAAAAGGATATTGGTATTGATTCTGACTACATGAAAGAAAATTAGAATATTTTAGACAAAAAGATCGGAGAAACATTGCGAAGGGAAGCAGCACACGTAACACACAGCTAGAACTAGGGAAGGAGAAAATCTTGTACAATATTAAGAAAGTCAATTCCACACCAAACGACAATTTTCAGTTTGTGTGTTCGCAATTATTTAAAGCCGAAGGATGACTAATCGTTGCGTGCATTTGTTAGTCTTAACTCCCTATAAATAGAAGCATAAATACAATCAAAATCATCCACAGCCTTTGCCTCCATAGACATTTCTTTCAATTAGGTCATGGCTTTTCGTTTGAGTCATTTGAGCCTTGCCCTGAGCCTTTTGGCTCTTGCACTTGCAGGTGTTGCCATTTATAGGAACACTTATGAAGCCATGAGTAAGGGATTCCAAACACTTTCTCCAGAGTTAGATCTGCTGGAGTCAGCAGCCAGCATTTTAACCCTAAATAATAATAATGCTGAGCAAAATTCAGACAGCAAGTTAACTCAACCATTATCTCCATCGGCATGCATCTTCTCGGCTGTTCGAGGAGTTGTGAACAGTGCAATTGATAGAGAAAGGCGCATGGGAGCTTCTCTCATTCGTCTCCACTTCCATGACTGCTTTGTTGATGTAAATTCCTTCACTCTTTTTACTGCTCTCGCATTCTTTACTCTTTTTGCCGTATTTAATTACTTTAAAAGAACAAGAGGGCAAAGAAAAAGAATCAATAAAAGACAGTTTTTTTTTTTGTTTTCCAAATGTTTTCCTAAATTTAACAATTTTTAAAGGTTTAACGGGATATAAGGAGTTTTTCACAACCGTCGAAAGCCAAGAATTTCGCTATGAGTGTTTGAGATTTTCTACGATGAAGGTTGTCCAACTGTTCATCCTTCACTTCACTGATTGTAACTAGATCTGCCCTTACCACAGCCATAATTGAGTATATAATGCATGAACCAAAATAAGGTCAAAACAATCTATTTACTTATGATAAAAAGTTAGTTGTCCTAGCTAGTATTTATTCAATCAAACGCGTACTTATCAATTTATTATTATATTATGAGAAATGTTTGCTATTACGACTATAATGAAAATTCTCAGTTGGGGTTTTTTTGGGAGTGGAGGGGTACATATAGTGGAGCTGTGAACCTGCATGGAACAAGTCAAACCCACCCTAACTTGGAAAAGTCTTTTCTGCTTCTGTTTAGATTGCCTTCCAATTCTTGTTTGTTACTGTCACTTATGTAGCATTTTCATTTTATGTGGCAAAATTTAAATAGACACGAAATTTAAGAAGGAAAAAAGACTATAGAAATTTGTGGTTTAAAATAAATCATATATTTGTGTGATTTTAAATCAATTTATTAAGGATAAAATAAGAAAGTTTAAAGTTAAATTATTACCAAAATTAAAAAAAATTCATTCTTTTACTAAAAAGTAAATATTGCCGTATAAAGTTGATTGAAGGGAGTAGCTTTTTCCTATTTTACCCCTGGACAAAGCTTTGCCACGCTTTTCCAATTTTTATACGCCTGAATGTCATTTGCGCGTTCTCATTATTCTCATCCGGACTATCTATCTATGCTCATGACCGAGCTTCCATTTCTTCTTTCAGCTTATCTAGCCATTAAACTTCATTTTCATTAACCATAAAGCAAGATTAAGGTTCATTTTACATCAATTCACGTAACCTAGTTCATTTATAATTTTAAAACATATTCTACTCATGAAGTGATGATTACGGTTGACTAATAGCTACATGTTTATTAACAGGGTTGCGATGGAGGAGTTCTTCTAGACGATATTCCCGGATCATTCCAAGGGGAAAAGACCTCACCACCCAACAACAACTCAGCNTAAACTTCATTTTCATTAACCATAAAGCAAGATTAAGGTTCATTTTACATCAATTCACGTAACCTAGTTCATTTATAATTTTAAAACATATTCTACTCATGAAGTGATGATTACGGTTGACTAATAGCTACATGTTTATTAACAGGGTTGCGATGGAGGAGTTCTTCTAGACGATATTCCCGGATCATTCCAAGGGG